CTGCTGAAAAATCCCCTGCTTAGTTCCGGTTGAAAGAACAGTCCGGCCTCATTCTCATCATGAGATAGCATAAAAAAAGCTCTCCGTAAAGATACTATGAACTTACTGTACGCAAATGCCATCATCACAATGCCCAGGGGAGGAGAGGGGACAGGACAAGGAACTGCAGTTCTATTTATTATCCAGCTGTACTTACAGATTTAAAAATGCGTCCTTAGACATGGAGCTCCCTTCTGCTCTGTTCAAATCCAGAAAATAACACGGCACTACTGCGTATTTTCACAAAAGGAGAATTGGTTCATCATCCACATAAGCTTTTCACCAAAATATAAATTTATTTTAAATATATTTTCAGTACCCTATATGCTGACGTGTAACATTTACCATATACAAGCATCCTAAAACCCGAGACGGTCAGAAGTTACACCAGTGGGACAAGGGCTGCTCCCATCTACTGAATACAGCAAAGGAATTTGGTCATGCTACAGTTTAAGTTCACTTTTTTTTTTTTTTTTTTTTTTTTTTTTTTTTCGGAAAGGGGGGGAATTTTTTTTTGCGGAAGGCGGGGAAAGCAGCTAGTAAAAACAAAACAAAACAAAACAAGGGGCATGAGCAGATGGAGGGGAAACCTTCCTGTATCAGCACCTACCTGTGACCATGCTGTTCTGATTGCTGTTCCTTGGATTGGAACTTCCATCCAATGTTGCAGTCAGACTAAAAGATGACAACAATCAACTGCTATCAGAAAAAAAACCACAAACTTGAACTAAAGTTTTGGGGGTGAGATAAAGAGTTCCCACTTCCTTGCCTACCCCTGCAACCTTAACCTCTTCTTCACAGTTACACTGCAGGAACTTCCAGTGTAAAAAGTTTAATGTGAATAAAAATCACTCCGCTGTACCTGATTTACACTGCGTTTTGGCTGCTTTGTTTAAATTTGCCAGTGCTCCACAAAAGATCCTCTGTTTTCTTCAACTCCCAGCACGTGGGAAACCTTACAGGGGTGCTGTGCCAACAGCAAACCCCCCAGTAGAGGATAGCTGGAAAAAAAGCCACATTTCAGATGCTCAGGCAATTTTGGCAAAAAAAAGCAGAGGAGAAAGCAAAGGGTTCCTGCTTTTTTAGCGTTCTCCAGGGAGCAGGCCAGCCCTTTAGTTCCTGATTGCGCTCTAAAGACGCATTAATGTCATTGTGGATAATAGCAACTAACCACAGAGCCCAGCCGGAGGATGTTAATGTATCCCGAGCCTTGGTCGTGCTGCTTTTATGGTGTTGCTGCAGAGAAGTTTCCATTACTAACCTTGCTCTGTTGGACTTGTTAATTATGGAGCGATACAGGGCAACAGTACAGAACTAAAAGCAGGAAAGAGATTTTTAAAGAGCTGGGGAGCCTAAAATACAAATTCACTGAGCCTGAAACTTCAGCTTCGTTTGGAAAACTCCGATCGAAAGTCCCACAGCAACATTAGCTTGAGAGGGGAGGAAGAGAAAAACTGTATGTAACCCAGTTCCTGGTTCTTTATGTCAAGTACGATGGTGCTGCCTTCAGTTCCCAAAAGCAGTTGTTCTGAAGACTCCTAACAATCTCTGGATAAATCCCAGAGGCAACAAACTGATGGTAGCAGGGAAAAGGAAGCTGAGATTTTGCTGTTCAAGGATAGAAACATTTTCAAAGCATCTCTAGTATCACAGGGGCATTAAAATTCCTCGCTCTGCTCACCAACGGGGCCACTCTGCCGCCTTGCAGCTAGCAGAAATGATTTCTCCTAAAACGCAGCTGTAAGGAGGGCACGACTAAATTATTCAGAGCGTGGCTGCTGTCATACTAAAACAATTTCAGTCCAACATTGAAGCTGACCATATCGCCTCTTCCAAAAAGGCTTGCTCTTTTTTTTTTTTCCCTGCAAATCAATCTTTTCCCCATGCTGGGCAACACAAATTCTCAAGGATGAACTCCAACCACATGAGCACAGAGCTTCACTGAGCCTCATTTCCCCTATTTCTCAACAAACAATTAGGAGTTTGGCTGACTTTTTTGCTGCTGCAGCTAGCCCGCTTCCAGAACAGCCAGCCTCTGAGCCTTGCCGTGGGCCAGCGCTGCAGCTTTCCTAGCTATGACACAGAAGTTTAGGCTTAAAAATAGGTTGGATTGAAGAAAATCAAAAAATGTGTATTCTTTTGTGGACAACACACATGCTGCCAGCCCAGCGCGGGAGGTTTTGGCCATCCATCCTCCACCAGGCTGTGTGCTGACGGAGCTGTTGCCTCAAGACAGAACAGCTCAGCTTTGTCAGGCAGCTCCCCCGTGTTTCACACCTGGCACCGCTCAGGAAAGCCTGGGCTTTAAGGTACCTCCCGTGCCCTGTGACCGTGACACTGCCCTGCTCAGGAGTAGCTGATCCCAGCTGTTCCCGCTTCCTTTCTTCATCCTTGAGAGAGCATTTACAAAGCCTGGCCCTTGGGAAACGGGGAGTGACAAGCCCCAGTTTCCCAGTAAGCCAGGCTATGCTAGTCCTGAGCCTGGCTTACTGCTCTGCGCTTGCCCTGGCAAGGTGTGCTGCCTTCACCCCCTCTCCGTATTACCACCAACCTTACTGCAGCCCGTGCAGGGCTTCCTCAGCCGCTTATGAGTTCAGCCACTGAATCTGATCCTTTGGGATCCTCTTGGATCCACTGGGATTGATCCTCTTTGGGGTCCAGGATGCTAAGTCCCTGCTGCTGGCTTTTGTAAACATGCTGGGTGCCTCAGCACCCTCCTGGAGGACTTACATTCAGACAGTGAAGACATCCAACCCTGTGGAAAGATGGATCTCCATCCTCCCGTCTCTTGTGACCGCGCTAACAGTAGCTACAAAGAAACCTCTTCCAACTCCTGCAACAACTCCTGAGGACAAGGTAGAGACCACGCGCTAAAGTCATTAACAGAAAACAGCTGCATCTAGACTAACTGACAGTGGGGTGAAGCCCCTGCGGGCTGGGGGAGAGGGCAGGTCCCTTCCCACAGGTCAGCAGGCAGCTCTGTCCCGAGCAGAGTCCCTCCTAGTCCGCTGCCTGCCGGCTCCTGCGCTTTTCTTTCCTCTGTTCCTCGGGTCCCGTTGGTGCTGAGGTCTCCTCGGGGCTTGTTTCTGAGCCCCGTTCTGGTTCCAGAGGCAGCGAGGGAGGCTTTGCAAGTGGAGCTGATGCTCCGGCACCTGGGAGGAGAACACAGTTGTGGTTACTGTACAACTCCGCGTGTTTTCTCTGTTCTTTCTGCCCTTCCAGGCAGCATGGAGATGCAGAACAATCACAGCTATTAATTACTCTCAGGTTTCTTCTGTCTAGCGTTAGCTTAGCAATAGCACTCAACTCTTTTGTGAGTTATCCAGTCTCAGGGAGAGTTTCCAGGCAGCTGAAGGAGCTACTTACAGAATAAAATAAAAATAGGACACTTCCCTGCTGAAGTCGTTTCTACACTTCGATTTAGGCTGACAACAGATGTTATGAACCAGCTCCCTTCTCTGATATGGATGATAAAGTCCTTTAGGTAAACCCCAGACTCCTGTATGTTTTATTTTTCAGCTAAGTCTTCCCTTCATGGAAAGCTTTTTCCATGAGAAATGGAACAGGTCCTAAGGGGTGCCAAAGCCAGAGGCCTGGATTGCACAACCTCTCTCCTGGCTCAGTCCCCAGGAACCAAGACTAAGAGGGACAGAAAATCACCACCATGAGCAGTATCTTTAGCACAGAAGCCGAGGGGTGAGGGGAGGTCAGACGATGAACGGGGGCTCAGGAGACGCTCCTGCACAGCCCCAGCAAGAAGCAGCACGTACAGCTGCAAGGGAGGGAGCTGGCTGGACAGTTTCAGAGCAGTCCAGTTTCAGTTATTTTTGTCACAGAAATTATAAAAAGCTTCAGAAAAAACGCTTCAGAAAATTGTCCATCATTTCCCTTCCCTCCAGCAGCCTGTCTTCCTCTGCATGGGGATGACAGCTCCTGGGCTCTTCCAAAGGAAGACGAGGTCTGGTTCTGAAACACCTCCTTCCTGAAGCAAGATCTCAATTCCAGGCTCATGGTGTTCTTGCCCAGTGGGGCTCGAATAGGAAAGGAAACTTTACTGGCTTTCCACACCCCTGCAAAGGCAGGATACTATAAAGCACCACAGAGAGCATCCTCCTTCCACACCTCCTTAACTCAGAAAATTGAGAAAGCTGTTACCAAATCTTGACAGCACTAAGCCCGTCAATACCTTCCTAAACACATCCCCTAACTCTACTCAAAGCGAGATTTCTCTTCTTTCACTCTCCCGTCCCACAGCTCTACTTTAAAGAGAAGGAAAAGAGAAGCACCTGAGGGTAGCTGCATGGTTTTCCCGTACCCCGCAGCGGAGGACATGGCTTGACCCAGGGCCTGGTTAGAGCCCAAAGGCTGCTGAGTGCTGGAGGACTTCCCTGACGGAGCAGCTCGCTGCTTGGATTTCGACTCTTTAGAAGGTTTACTCCAGACCAGGCTCTCCCCGACCTGCAGGGCAGCTCCCATCTTTTGGGCAACCTCCACCATCTTCTCAAGCAACAAAAAGAGGAGATTCTTGTAAACAGGAATACTTCAGACAACAGTAAAGTCAAAACAACATACACACAAAAAAAACCGAGAGCTGTGCAGAGCTGGCTACTGCCTCGGTGCTTGAGGGAAACATCTCCACTAATTCATTCCCTTAATTAAGAGGGAATCTTCTCTTGCTGTGTATTGATTGAAGAACTGGGCTTCAAAGAGCAGAAACGAAGCAAGCAGCTCTCAGCAGGCAACCGCTCTACTCGGAAAAATCGCATAAGCAGAATTTCTTACTAATAATTGGACTCCAAAGTGAAATTTCCTCCTCGTTTGTTGCCAGCCTTAGCGTGGCTGACAACCGTTGGGTACATACCTCAGGGTCAAAGTCAAGAGTAGCGCTCTCCTTGGCCGCAGTGACCTTCCTTTCCATCTCCTGGTACTGGCAGAGGGCTCCTTTCTTGTCGCCCTGGTTGTAGAGCAGGATGGCATAGTTCAGGTTGACGAGGGGGTTGCACCTGCAGCAGAAACACAGGATGCACCGCATTCACCGGGGGAACACTTATCCTGACTTGAATTAACGCTAAGACGTGCCCAAGCAGCAAAGCTGGAGACACCTTCCCACCTGGCAGCCAGCAGTGCCCACGACTGCAGAAACAACTCTGCTGATCGCCTCACCCCTGCAAGGCTGTTCTCTGCACTTTGCTCTTGGGGACCATCTCAGGACTGGCTTTAGGAAGCAGCTGGCGTCCCAGCCCCTTGCTCCTGGGGCAGGCAGAGCAGTGACGGGGCTTTTCTGGGAGAGCTGGTCTGCTCTGGCTCAAACTCTCGCGGCTCTCCCAGTTTGTAGGAGAGCAGCTTGTCGGGGGATGGGGCAGCAGAACAGACTCGTGCTTATTCGTTTTGTTTTACAAGCTGACATGCTGCAGAACATGCTGTTTACATTTCATCTCCCCACCTCTTCTCTCTCATTCACCCAGGAAAACCATCCACAATCGTATGTCCTGGGACAGAGAAAGCGGGCGGCAGCTATTAACGAAGGACTCGGAGAGGAGCCCAGTGCTGCAGAGAACAGCGCACAGCCCTGCCTCCCTTCCTGAACTCCATATGGAGATTTCCAAAAGGCAGAATTGCTCCATATATTCTCATTTTGCACTAGGATACTTTAACCCCAACCAGCACCTCTTCTTCTGGCATAGCCAGGAGCCTGAGCAAACTAAACCAGTGAAGTGAAGCTCTCAGTAGACATGATCCTTCCTTAACTGCCTGATGAGCCACGCTTAACAAACTGCCCTGACCATCCTTCAGCGGCCTCAATTTCACCCTTATTTTGGAGAAAATAAGGTCTGTGAGAGGTGCTTTGTACAGTTTGCTGAACAAATGTGAGCGAGGGACTGGTGCCCTCTCCTGGAGCCTGGCTGGGATAACTGGAGCCTGGCTGGGATAACTGGAGCCATCCCAGGACTCCGGCACCCACGCCTGGGGGCCAAACCAGGTTGAGCATCTTTTGGGAAAAGTGCAGAAGGGAAGGCTTCTGTTCAATAAATAGAAAGTGTCATCTGCAGGCCATGCCTACCCATCCTTGGTAAGTTATATGACAGCGCTGTGAGAAGAAGACTATGAGAAGAAATCTCTTAGCATTTATAACTGTTGGTGTTCCTTTAACGGGGACACAGGAACACTGATTCTGCCACAAAAAAAAAAAAAAAAAAAAAAAAAAACACCAAAAAAACCCCCAAACCAAACCAACCCTGCTTACTGTCTTTGCCAAAGCAAAGAAAGAAATGCATGAAAAAATAAATATTGAAATGCCATCTCTTCAGGGGAGAAAAACAGCCAAAAAAGAAAAAGCAAAAAACCAAACCCACAGAATAAAACACTGCAAACAGAGATCAGACAGATCGAGAAACCAGCCAGTATTAAAATTAATTGAACCTTATCAAGCTAGTTTGCCTTCAAGAGCTGAGAAGCAATATGACAGAAAAATCAATAGCTAAATAACCACAGACAGAAAGGACAGCTATGGGCTAGAGCCAGTGCTAACAAAACACCTTTCTAAAAGATTGTTCCAAGATGCTTTCCATTCCAGACCCCGGCAGGGCACCTAGGCCAAATATCACAGCACCGCTATAAAAGTATTTATGGCAACGGAAACAAACACAGCCAGCCTCGCTCCAGCCAAACAGCTCGGCAAAGAGGGCCTGTGGGGACATGGATTCAGCCACACAATAACTGTCTAGAAGGTTCAGCATGTCAGCTGAACAAGCCTGACAAAGTCTGGCTTTTCCTCCCAGCAGTCCCTGGCCGGTGGCATTCATTTTTGCTTTGATGAGATTTTCCCAGGAAGACTATATAGCCGTAGCATCAGAATAGTGCCAGGTATTTAGGCAAAGCTGGAGAGCTAAATTTCTCTCGCTTCTCTTTGATCAAAGCACGCAAATTCATGAGTAAGCAGTCTGAGCAATCTGTAAGGTCCTGTACTGCCCTGCTAGGCGTGGAAGGCTGATGAGGAAAGTCAGGCAAAGGAGTTGGGCTGGACTTAGTGCTGTTGGTCGGAAGGACAGATGCCTGACGGCAGAACACTCTCGCGCAGCAATGCATTTATAAATCTTTGACCATAGTTTGCACAGGTTCGATTCCTCTAAGGAGGCTGAAGAGACCTACTGATGTCTGAAACAGAGGTAGAAGCAATATTTAAACCTTCGTTGTAATTCTGTTGATGCATAAGCATGAAGAACTTCAGTGCAGGCTGTGCCAGGGTAACCAATGCACCAGCTGTCCTGCGTGCAAGCCGTGTAACTCCCAGTTAACGTCTGAGAGCGTTTACAGCACCTCTCCACAAAGAGAGCTGTGCTACAGCATCAGATGCTATTTTTTGAAACTTGCTGCCTTTTATAATGGGTTTAGGAACTTCCAAAATTCCCCAAATTAAGCCTGGCCAGTGCACTTAGGTTAGAGAGGACAGAGGGACCAGCAGCTTCTTGTGCCACCTTGCGGTGGCCACTGCAGATGGAAACGGGCTTTGCCACTGCTCTGTCACCAGCATACACTCTGTATGCTGCAAGGATGCAAATATTCAGGGCAAAAAGGTGAGAAGAATCACCATCCCATCACCTACTTGTTAAAAACTGAAAAGGGAAAAAGAAAAGAAAAGCAGACGCACGGAGCCAAAGCTATTCATGAAGTCGAGACAAATGTGTTTTTCTGACTGAGACGAGGTTTCATTTGCAAGGTTCATTTGAACACTTCTGAAACCAAGTGCTCTGATTTTAAGAGCCAGATTGCAAACACAGACCTTGTGAATAAAACGGAGGAGAAGGGGCCACACTGCAGCCCTTTTATACGCTTTATACTAGCTCCTTGCCCACATTCTCCCAGTTAAATTCTTCCCCCTGCCCGGTTCAGTCTCATTGCTCTGCACAGTGCTCAAACTTTGGCTTACAAAATATTCTGGGGTGACTGGCTTTCTTCTATCGAACCTGCTCTGCTGTGCATAAATATTCACTGGAAGGTGGCCTGGAATCCAAAGTCATCACCACTGACTCACTTAACTAAACAGCAAAATAAAAACCAGCCTTGGGTTGGACTGAAACAAAATTTCCCTTTCATTTTTCAGAGCTGACCTGAATTTTTAAAAAAGGGGGAAAAAAAGGTGGTTTTAAAACAGTGACTTGCACAACTGCAGGAATAAAAATATTTCCCTATCTCAAACGATTTAGGGTCAAAGTAGACAGAGGGACAAAGCACGCAAAGAAAACCAGGTGAGGGAGGCAAAGCAAGGTGGTCAAACAACTGACAGCCACGATTGAAACTTACTTGTCCAGTGCCACAGCTTGCTCATAGGAACGTTTTGCATTCTCAATGTCTTCCAGGTTTGTCAGAGCAACTGTACCGAAGCAAAACGTACACGTATAAGTTGATGCTTCGCAAGGACTTATTTTTAGGACAATTCAGAATGTAAAATTGTAATTTTTTTTTTAATCATTGTAAAATAAAGCGGTGCTAGCAGGGTTGTCTGGGCTGCTGCCAGGATTAACCCTGGTAATGTCACTTCTGACAAATACCGGTCTCGCTTGATCCCCAAAACTGTGCTGGAAATCCACACCCACTCCTCAGGCAACCCAAACCCAAACTCTAATGTGTAGAAAGCCTTTCCTAATGTTTAATCTGGATCTGGCTGCAATTTAACTTTCCTATTTACCGCAGAGAGAGAACAGACTATCCAGACTTTATATCTGTCCCTGACCTACTGGAGAACAGCTTCTTAGTACAGTCTTTACCCAGTGTACTTCAGCCCCAATCTTCCATCTCTACAACGTCACATCCCCTAAGCTGGGCATCCTCTGGAGCTGGCTAGCGGAGCGCTGCGTACCTGCGAGGAGCATATACAGCTCTCCCATCTTGGGCTGGAAGCTGATGGCGGCGCTGAGGAAGTGGAAAGCGGACGCATACTGCTGCATGGTGAGGTGGACCAACCCCAAATTGTACAAGATCTTCCAGTCAAAGGGAGCCAAGTAGTTTGCCCGCTTCAGGCAGCTGATAGCCTTAAAAAAAAAAAAAAAAAAAAAAAAAAGGTGTACCGCAGCCCACCCAGAACAGCCCTCCTGGCTGTGCCGCCAGTGGAACCTTGTTCTTGCACAAAGCTGAAAAAAAGGAAAGGAAACCAGCTACTTACTGCTACGTATTTCTTCTTCCCAAAGAAGCACATCCCAATGTTGTTCCACAGCGGGGGGCTTTCCGGCGCAGTGCTGGCTACCGCCTTGTATTTGGAGAGGGCAACGTCGAAATCTCCGTGGGCCTGCATCATGCTGCCAGCCGCCAAGGTGGCCTTGGAGAGAAGACAAGTGACCAGCTGAGGAACTGCGTGTCTCCAAATACAGCAAGAAGACAACAAAATTAATAAACTAAAACCATCTCAAGAGCAACCATTTAACTTTTCCAGGTGTTTTCTTCTAGGGGCTGCCAAGACCAAGAGTGGAAGCAGAGGGGGACTCCAGAATCTCCCGACATATAGGAGAAGACAGGGTAAAGGAGGGACTCAAGTCTGCTTCTTCCTGCACCATCTCGATCGTAACTGCCTCGGAAATATTGCAATGTGACAAGTGTTTAGGGTGTGTTCCGGGGTGACAATAGTATCTTCTAGAGTCTGAGCCTCTGAGAAGATCTAGATTTCTATCTAGACAGAAACAGTTCTGGTGTAAGTTAACTGGAGAGGAAAACATAGGCAAGCAAGACAGATGCAGCCAAGCGAGCCTCATTCACACTGCGTGATACTGCAAATTAACGGAAATATGCACGGGGAAAAAAAAGGCAAGTGATTCCAACACACTATATTTAAACCACACTAGTTAATCCTGTACAATATTTCACAGTGACAGTAACATTTTTAAGTGTAAAGGTGTTTTCACAAAAACGCTCAGCTTACATTCACATACCATTTGTCAATCACACATTTTGATACTCTGCATCATTAACATTGTACAGGAGGAAAAAGAGGCAGAGAGAAATGAAGCACCGTGCCTAAAAAGGGAAGCGGTTTCACAATCAGGAATGAAACCTAGATGCCAAGCTCAGCCTTCCAGACCAGAGACAAGGAAAAGTCACTTTTGTATACAACAGACAGAGTTATTAGCAGATGGGATAATAATATAATTGATATTATTATTATTATACATTA